GCTAAAGTTCTAAACGTTCTTTGAAACAATGAACAGAACATACATGTAAAATTTAAAAATATGCAGTATACTGTGTATTTACATGCAATATGTTGTATGTGTGCAGTCAAACTGTAACAATCCTACCTACCAAAACTGAAAAATAAGAAATAAAAAAGATTAAAGTAAAAGTTTTTTTTAAAAAAGGTACCAAAGTTCAGGGCCTACTAAAGTAATCTAACAAATGTTAGTTTCCTCTCATTCTCTCCTTTTAGCTGCTAAGAAGAAATAAGAATGAAATTTTAATTTCCTTTCTCTGTCCGTAACACAGCTTATAACATGTGTGCTAAGAAAGTACTAAAAGCATTTATAACTGAAGTTGACTCTCTTTCTTAAAAAGTATTTTTAAGGCTAAATGTATAAATAAAAATCAAATCTCTATGCACTGGCTCAAAAAGAAATGGCAACACTAGAACCCAGATTGGTTTTTTTGACGCTTTAAAAATATTTTTAAAAATTACTATTATTCTTTTTAATGGAGGTACTGGGGATTGAACCCAGAACATGTGCATTCTAAGCTTTACCACTAAGCTATTACCCTCCCTTCAGATTGTGTTTTTTTAAACACTACTTTCTCAAAGAAATCAGGCTTCCTTGGGAAAAAAGCTAGTTGTCTTTCATATAGGAGCCAGATACTTGGTAAAGGAATATTTCTCTTTACAGAAGTATTTGGACAATAAATGAAAAAGATGATAAAATTAGGATATCACTACTTTACAAGTCATAATGAATTATCAGATCTAGATAATGATCACTGATGGTTGATCATCACATACATCATCAATAGACATTATCTTTTGATGGAAGTACAACTATAAAGTAAACCTGAAAGAAAAACCTTAACCTGATAAAACTTCTGCCAATTTACAAAAATACAAGACAGGGGAGTGCATTAAAATGAAAGTTTGGCTATGCATAACGGGCAAAATCCACCCATACTTACCACAGAAAAACCTGGTTTTGTCATTATAAAAAAAGAGAGGAGAGAGAGATGGGGACCTACCTTAGTAAGAAGGGGACCTTATACTTTAAAAGACAATTTAGAGATTGATATCAACTATTTATAATGTTTGGACTTCATTTGGGATGCAATTTTGTTGCTGTTGGTTGGGGTTTTTTTTGAGGGGGAGGAGAGGTAATTAGGTTTATTTATTTATTTATTATTACTTTTTTAAAAAATGGAGGCACTGGGATTTGAACGCAGCACTTCACGCATGCTAAGCATGCACTCTACCACTGATGCTTGCAATTTGCTTCAAAATAAAGACAGATAGGAGACTGCAGAGATAAGAGTTGACAATTTTTGAAGTTTGGTGATGGATAGATGAGGAGTTCATTAAACTATTATCTATTTTTGTGTATGTTTGAAAATTCCTACATTAGTTAAGGTTTTTCAAAAAACAGTAGGTTCCTCTTGAATCTTCATAACCACAAAGTGAAACACAGGACCACGTTCCCAGAGATTCACCCAGAAAATGCAAGTGCCAGTGGATATTCAGTAGTAGATATTAGGCTCATGAACTGTGTGTGCATAATGGATGCAGTTGCCCATGCTGTATGCAGTATATGGGTCAATCTGCTGCACCTTGAGCCCAGGACTATGGGCATAAGCCACCCTCTTCCCTTGACTTACCTAGTTTGATTAAGTGGATGCACAATCAGGTCTTGGGTATTTCAGGCCAGGTAGGAGTACGTGCAATAGTTCTCGACCTCACCGAAAGGGTGTAAGTTATAGTATTTTGACCTGAGCCACTCCTTGGGCATGCAGGAGGTTAGGCGGTGCTACCATAGCACTTTTTTTTCTTTCTTTCAGTTTTACTGATATATAATTGACATATAGCACTGTATAAGGTTTACAGCATAATGGATTTACATTTATCATGAAATGATTATCACAGTAAGTTTAGTGAACATCCATTATCTCACATAGATACAAAATTAAAGGAAAAAAAGTTTCTCCTTGTGATGAGAACTCTTAAGATTTGCTCTCTTAACAACTTTTGTCGTTTATCACTTAATACCTTACATCCTAGTACCTTTTGACGGTCTTGATCTAATTCCCCCTGCCCTCACTGCCCACCTCTGGTAACCACAAATATGATCCTTTTTATGAGTTTGTTTCTGAAGTATAACTGACCTAAAACACTATGCTAGTTCCTGTTACACAATATAGTAATTCAGTTTTTCTACATAATACCTTTTGCTGGTGTTGCCAGCTGAGCTCCTGCAACTGCACTCGCATATGTGGGTGCTGTACATAAACATATGGGTGCTGTACATGTATCTATGAGGGCTGCCACACATCTTCCCAGGCTGCCTCAAGAACACTCTCCCCAGTTCCACCCTAAAAGAGACTCACAGTTATACAAGTTCTGGAATAGATACTCACAGCTGTAAACCTCATTTTACATGGCCCATACATACTCCATCTCTTTGTCTTTTCTCTACTTTGGGATTTTAAAATTTCTCTCCTGAGATAGCATGATCTCTCTTTTCATCTTGATGGGTTTGTTCCTAGACCTATTTCCCTAACACTGACCCTCCTGGCCTCTGCAAGGCCTGAAAAGAAAGGGGAAGATACACACTCTCAAAGGGTAGCTCCTGACGTATATCCTCTCCCTCTTCTACTCTGTCAGCATCCTCTCTTTTCCTACTCTTCCCCTCTGTTTTATCCTGGTCCCCTGGTACTCCTCCTACTTTTCCTGAGACAGGTGCAGACTCTGGTGTAGACTCTGGATGCATACCTAGGCACCTTTCTACTCCCCATCTACAGCTGAGGCAAGGGGATTCTAGTGGGAAGGGGTACTATGGTGATAAAAATAATGAGGTTGGGGACCCAAAAGATGCATGCCTATCTTCCCAGTTGCCATTTTTGATTTTGATTTGATTTCATGTTTAGATATACAATCCTCCTGTAACTGATTTTTCTAAACAGCTTTATTGATTTAATTTATACGTCATATAATTCACTCATTTAAGTATACAATTAAATGATTTTTAAAATCTATTTATAGAGCTGTGCAACCATCAACCACAAGCTAATTTTAAAGCATTTTCATTCCCCTGAAAGAAATCCTGTACCCATTAGTTGTCATTCCCCATTCTCCTCCACCCCCATTATAGCCCCTAATCAGTTCTCTTTCCAGCTATTATAAATAAGCTCATGGAAAATTTTTTTTTGTAGATGTATATATTTAGTTCTCTTGGGTATATATCTAGAAGTGGAACTGCTGGGTCATGTTAGTTGTGTGTGTAACTTTTTGAGGAAATACTCAACTGTTTTCCAAAGTCACTGTACTGTTTTACATTCCTACCAGCAATGTATGAAAATTCCAATTTCTCCACGTCGTTGTCAACATTTGTTATTTTCTGTCTTTTTGACTAAAGCCATCCTAGTGAGTGTGAAGTAGTAACTAATTTTAATTTGCATTTCCTTAATGATTAATGATGCTTAACATGTCTTCTTGTGTTTATTGGCCATTTGCATATCTTCTCTGGAGAAATGTGTGTTCTGATCTTTGACTATTTTTAATTGGGTTGTCTTTTTTGAGTAGAAAGAGTTCTTGACATATTTTGGATACAAGTCTCTTA